AAAATCAAAATCATTCCTTCCTCAAAACCTCCTCTGTATTCCTACTCCTTCGAAATCAAAATCAATCTCCTCCCTCTTCTCGCCGTGAAAAATCCTCTCGCCATTGAGCCAATTTGCCATTTCCGATCCTTCAGTTCCTCGCAAGGTTATGCAGATAGTCAAATCCATGGATCTTGGGTGCTTGGATTTGGGTTGCATCTCCGGGTCCAACAAGCAAAACGCCGACGAACTTATTGATTCTCTGAACAAATTAGGGGATTTTAGCGATGGGTCTTCGGCGACATCGTCTTCCAAAGTCGGGAAGGTACATTGGAACATAGAATCTTCACTATTTGTATTGTTGATAATCAAGATTTGCTTCTTTTCCTTGATTGGAGTGGTGTGTATTGGTTCAATCAATTAATTAAGGCATTTTGATTTTGCAAGTGCCTGTTTTGATTTTTGAGCTGTATGATTCTGATGGACTCTCTGTTTCTAAAACCCTAAAAACCCTAATGGGGGTATAACGGATGAAGGGGTTTCTTTAATTTTTCTTCACCTTGCAGAATTGAATATTTTGGGGGCTCAAGAATTCAGTTTAGCCTCTGATTTAGACACTTAGATTGCTAATCTTTATCTTTTCTTGCATATCGGTGAGTTAAAACCTCTGGGTTCTACCTGTTTTCTTTATGTTTCGCTGAATCTTTAGGTTTCAGTGTGCTAATTAGAATAGTACTTACTGAATTGCCATTTTGTACTAGCAGTCTCAACTCAGATAAATCAATGTGAAATCCAAGTTGTGTTCAGTTACTAAATGGTCTTCGAAAACATTAATCGAATTAGTAGAGTTATCACTTGTTTATAAAGCAGTTGTTATGTTTTGGTATAATTGCCTTCCTCCAAACTCATGCCATGGATGGCAGTTGTATTTTTATTCCTCTGGTCAAGCTGGAAGGTTTTATTTATCTGATATTTGAAGGTTTTGGAGGCTTTCATTTTTTGCAGTTAATATAGTAGGAATGATGGATGCATTTATAACTTTTATCATTTGTTGACAATCATATCATTTTCTATGGTGGCGGTTAAATTTATTTGTTTTATTTTGTAAGTGTTCTCTCTTGAGTGTTGCAGATGAAGTCATCAAAAGAAACCAGTCCATCAGCACTAAATGCTCTTAACAAATTTACATTGCAAATTAAGAAGCCTCCTCACCGTAAGAGTTCTCCATTGAACTGGTTTCCTCGCAAAAAAGTTGACTCCTTCTTAGAAAGGAAGATAAAGATGCTGCAGGTTGTATCAGGAACATTATTTGCAACTTGCTTGCATTATTTTCTCTTTTTCTTTTAGTTTTGACCAAATGCTAATAGATCAGCTTATCTCAGGAATTAGATGGCATGAATTTAACTCTAGACGAGACTCTAGGTGATTCAAATCCACACTACTGCAGAGTTTTGAGAGAAAAAATGGCCGCAAGAGAAGCTGCAAACAAGGCTATGGAGGCTCGAAAAGCTGCAATGGTGGAAGCTTCTTGGTGTCGAATACTCAAAGCAGCCAGGTAAATTTTGTGGGGTATATTTAGAGAAATTGAATATTGATTGTCAGTTGTTTAACTTATTCAATCTGTTTTGCAGGATTGAAAGCAAAGCAGCAGAAGTTGTTCTTTTGAAAGCAGAGAAAACTGCAGCAGAAGCTTTCGAAGCAGCAATGGCCATGGGGGTGATCATGTATGATATACCTGACTGTCCTCAAAAGACTTGTCAAATAGAAACATCATCTACAAGAGGTTTTGCTACTCATACTGTTAAGGCATCCTTTGAAACTGCATTTGAGGTTTATAAACAAGTGGCTGCAGCAGTCAAAACTGCATTTGTTAGGCTTGCAAGTTGCCCCTCTTTTAATAAGGATGAATTTAAAGAACTCTTAAAGAAAATCAGTGAGAATCCAGATACTGGTGATTGTAATCAGGAGGTTACAGAGATTCTGTCAGAATGTGAATTAGAAGCCAGGTCAGAACTTGAAACAATTGCTCAAATGGACGGTTTTGTTTCTCAAGGCTTGGAGCATAAGTCACCAGTTACAGAGACTAGGCGGAAAAAATCCAAGAGGAGGCAGTCTCTCGAGAAGTTTAACATGGAAAAGCTCATTGAAATAATGCTTGAAAGGCTTAAATGTTTGCAAGAGGATGAACTTTCATCCCTTGCCACTATAGTTGCAACTTGTGGTTTAAATGCTGCCTTGGCAGAAGTAGAACATACAAAGCTGCACAACCCATATACTGACTCTGAGTATCCCTCTGATTCAAATCTTAGTTTTCCCCGAAGGATGTCTACAGCAGGATCCAGAACAAGAAAAACTAATAATGAATACCCCATTGATGGTCCAATGAGGAAAAAGCAGGTTGAGTCAGAACTCCCAAGTCTAGACAAGTTTTTGGTTAAGCACATGACGAAGCTGGAAC